ATGCAAGAGCAAGGAAGTATGATGTTGGATGTCCTGGCAGGATACTCCTTGACTCGTCCTATGGGCATCTAATGAAATTCTCAGTGTTGCCGCTATGTCTACCAGAGTGGATCTTCTCTTAGTTAAGGCAAGAACATAATTCTGGTATTAGCAACTTGGTGATATGAATCAAAGCCTTTAAAATGTTCATAACCTTTGACTCAGAAATTCCACAGCTAGTGATTTGTGGTAAAGAAATAATCAAATAATTATGCGAATAGTACAAACTATATTTATTTCTACTGCCAAAATAGAGCAAAACTAATCATAATCAGTTCAACTCCAGCAAATGAAGAAAGGGCTGGGAGGTCCTCACTCCTCTCCTTACAACAAGAAAAGCGCTGAAGAAAGCAAAACCCAACGAACTGGTCTTAGCTAGACAGAGGCGGACAAAGGGAGGAAAGGTGATGACGTCAGGAATCCTAACACAAAGGAGACCTGCTTCCCCACATCCCTCTCCAGCACAAAGGCAGGTGAAGGGCAGATGAGACATTCCCTTATCAGTGGAAGGCATCAAGAAAGACAGAATGATCACACTCCCCCAACAATGACTGAATAGCCTCTTAGGTTTGGGTCTCTGGACAAGGGTACCACAAGAGGTCTGGGGTGCAGGGATGCAAAGCCTCTCCAAGTCCCTAGGGGCCAAGCTCTATGATAAACTCCACTATAACTCCTTGACCATTTATGCTGAGTGATTGGTCCCCTTTAAAAGTCAGAGTTTCCTCGGAACATTCTTCGTGTTTACCTCTTAATTTTTCTTTACGAGCCTTAGTGGGGGAGCATTAAGAGACACTGACTTTATGAGTATGACTGGTAGTGGCAGTCTGGGAGGAATAAGCAATATCTAATTTTGACCTGTGTCAAGGACTGAAATCCCTTCTTACTGAAGGGGTCTCTTCTTATCTCCCTTATTGCAATCACTCCCTCCCATTGAACGGCTCAATGTCACCTGTACTTCCTCGATTTCAGCTCTAGAGGTCATATGTGCACCCCTGGGACACATGTTTTTGTATGTGTTTGTGCCCCTCCTTGACCCCCCAGTATGCTTTTGCTGACAAATATCTGGACCCTCTTTCAATGACTTGTACCTTTGGGTATCTCACTTTCCCTTTACTGATAATGAATCCTTTCCTTCAGTGTTTATGATCCTTTAGCAATTGGACAAAGGGAGACGTTTCCAACATGGACCTCAAAGGAATGAATCTGTATGGGTTTAATCCAGTGCATACAAGAGCCTTGGCTTGAATATGGCAGGAATTATATTATTATGACCTAAATTAGTAGTTGCCTTTGATTCCATCACAAATTTCATAGTGACCTTTCACTTATTGGCCAATGCCACTAGAAATGCAAGCAGGACCCAACAAATGTCCTTACTGTTGCTGCCAGGGCAGGTCACTGCTCACAGACTTGCTCGAGGTGATCCTGAAAAGAGAAGGTGGTATACATGCCATTGCCAACACCTCCTGTTGTTCTGGGTGACACTTCTCACCGAGTAAAGACTAGTCTAAAAACAATAGCTAAACTGGTTGACTAGATCCATCCAAAGTTCTACGTAAGAAATTAAGGAGAATCCTGGTGGGAGTAGGTAAAGTCTTGGTTCCCATGGATCAAACCTTCACTAGGACCTCTGGTAACTGTAATTGGAGTTACTATTAGAGTCATCTCTTTTAAATTTGTTAATGAAGTTAGTATCTTCTAGACTCCAACAGAATCAGACATGAATTTTGGTGACCTAGAGATTTGAAAGAATTCCAACAAATCTGGAGACCCTATCCTTTTTGCCAAAAACTGGCGCACTGATATGGCTGCATGAGCAAGTGCACTGTCGTGGCAGCAAAACCAGTCTCCATCTGCCACAAGTCAGGTCTTTTTTGTCACACACTGTTACACTATCTTTTCAGAACCTCTAAATAGAAACTTTGATTAACAGTCTGACCTTGTGGAACAAACTCCAAATGCATTATGAGTCCACATTTTCATCTGTTCGGGAAGTTGACAGACATCCAGAATGAGGTTTGTCATCAATTGACATTTCATCTTTTTTGAAATAAGAAGACCACTTGTACACTTGAGTTTTTCCCATAGTGCTGTCCTTGTAAGCTGTGTTCAACATCACAACAGTTTCTGCAGCATTTTTCCCGAGCAGGAAACAAAATTTCAAAGCCATACACTGTTCTCTTAAATTGGCCATCACAAAAAACAAGGTTCGAGTGAAACTGATTTCATGAAAAAATTCACTGTGACCGGAGAGAACCTTCCCAGGCAACGCCACTGGGTGCACTAACTCAGTGAGAGTTGCTCGATACTTACCTAGCAGGGTAAAAACGGTACTACAAAAGCTCCAACTAGCAGAAGGGAGCTTTCCTGGGTTTTTTGGGTACCTCCTCATATTTTACTAAAATGAAATTATTTTTTAAATGGCTATGAAATATTTCTGGAGACAACTACAGCATATTAAAAATCATAAGAGAATATGAAACACTTGCCTTTCCCAACACCTTACCATCAACCGAGGTCCAATGCAAATACAATTTATTACAATGTAGAGAGGTGCAAAACAGAATTGATATAAGAAGCAGTTTTTAGTAAAATCCAAAGACAATAAGAAAACTAAAACCAGATTCTTCTGCCACTGAGTTAATGCCAACTCATAGCGACTCTAAAGGGCAGGACAGAACTAACCCGTGGGTTTCCAAGACTGGACGTCTGTGTAGGAGCAAAAGTCTGTCTTTCTCCCATGGAGCAGTGGGTGGTTGAACTGCTAACCTTGAAGGCCAATGTGTAACTGCGACCCTGCCAGGGCTCCTTCCATAAACAACAGGGGGGTGGGGGAACAAGAAAGAAACTAAAGCCTCTGACAACTATAGCTACAAAATATTAAACATAGTCTAGCTTCCACCAAGATTAACTGAAAACTTCACACTGAAACTCTCACTATCCCAATTTATAATGTCCATCTTTCAGTAAAATAGTGCAAACACAAGAAAATTACGCATCAGAATCAATTCGGCAGCAGTGAGTTTGGTTTATAGTCTTTGTTGAGAATTCCTGGTAGCATCACCAGTTAAGAACTTGGTTGCTAACCAAAGGTTGGAGAGCTTTTGTTTCTAACATTTTATTGTACACCCTGTGAAGGTTTACAGGGTGATTAGGTTTCCATTCATAATACATACATTTCTATTCAATAATACATTTCCACTCAACAATACATCTTTGTTTCACCTTATGGATTGCAATCTTTACAATGTAACATCACTTAGCCCACTTCCTCCCTGGTTCCATGCCCCTTCTTTCCCAAGTCTTCTGAACTTTGTCCTTAGGTAAGTTCTGCCCTTTTGATCTACAATGGCCAACTATTCTAAAGCAAGCATACCTCACTAGTCTTATTGTTCCTTTTACAGAACAGGCTATGGTTTGGCTGATGATGGAGCCTTGAGAGCGAGTTCATTTCCAGACCTGAAAGGTGGGTAAGGACCTTAGTCTCAAGAGTTCCACTGGTTTCTGTCTGACCAGTAAGCCTGGTCTTTTTGATGAGTTTGACTTTTGTTCCACATTCTTCTCCCACTCTATCCTGGGCCTCTAGTGAGCTCCTTTCAGAGCAGCTGGTGGTGGTAGGTGGACACCATCTAGTTCTTCGTCAAGGAGACTGATGTTCATGTGGCCCACTGGACTACTTATTTCCATGCATCTTTCATTTCTTTACCCTTATTTCCTTTGATAGGGTAACATTTGCCATTTGAACCTACTCAGCAACCCGACAGAAAAAATGCCTGGTGATCTGCTTCCATGAAAACTACAGCCAAGAAAACCCATGTGGATGAGACTCTTTCACATGGGTCACCATGAGTGAAAACAGATCCACAGTTACCCAACAACAGTGTCTCTGTTGGTTAGACATAATCTCTTCCTCATCCTACCTGGCCACTGCAGTAGGATCAAGGTAACAGCGACTTTCCAGGTCCCAAACAATCCTTTTCTTTATGCACTCTGCTTGGTTCCTAAATTCCTTGTCCTGTAAAATAAGGTAGAAACTCTGTTCTCTCTCTGTGATAAGTGTATCATCCGCTCTATATAGGGGGTATTCTTTTAATGGATTTAATCAGGATACTTTTCTAGTAGTAGTACGTCCCCAACATTCACTCACATAACCTTAATCAGTGATTCTCAACGCTAAATGCTTATTCAAATCATCTGGAGTTTCTAAAAACTTTATCACTGACTAGGATTTGATACGGTATTAAACATAATTTCTTAACGCATGGGCTGAGTGGGCTTAGAAATTATCATTCTTGTAAAGCTTTCCAGATGATTCTAATGTGTAGTCAAGATTGAGAACTGCTTTTTCAAAAGGTTCAGGATAATTAACATAATAAAATTAAGGATGGTTTGAGTTTTCATTAACCACAGTGATGAGGAAAAAAAACATTGCATGGTACTTCTTAATTATTGCTAGCTCTTTCTCTTTCACTTGAATTATTAAGAGTCAGATATATAAAAGTAATTCAGCCACAAACATAATCTTTAAACCTTGACCCCCCCCAATAAAATTCCCTTTAGTCTTCTTAAAACCAAACAATAGTTTATCTTAACTACTCAAGTACTCCCTCAACACAAGAACACTTTGCACTAATAATCCGGCACTCTGAGATGGTCACCTTCCTCATATGATCGCTGAAGACAAATGGGTGCATAGGCAAATGTGGTGAAGAAAGCTGATGGTGCCTGGCTATCAAAAGATATAGTATCTGGGGTCTTAAAGACTTGAAGATAAACAAGGGACAATCTAGCTGAGAAACAACAAAGTCCACATGGAAGAAGCACACCAGCCTGTGTGATCATGAGGTGTCGATGGGACCAAGTATCAGGCATCAAAGACCCAGAGCAAAAAATCATAATGTGAATGAGGGGGGAGTGTGGAATGGAGGCCCAAAGCCAATCTGTAAGCAATTGGACATCCCCTTACAGAAGGGTTGTGGGTAGAAGATGGGCCAGTCAGGGTGCAGTGTAGCACTGATGAAACATACAGCTTTCCTCTGGTTCTTTAATGCTTCCTCCCCACCATTACCATGACCCTAATTCTACCTTACAAATCTAGCTGGACCAGAGCATGTACATGGGTACAGAAAAGAGCTGGAAACACAGGGAATACAGGACAGATAAACTCCTCGGGACCAATATTGAGAGGAGCCATACCAGAAGGGCAAGAGGAAGGTGGGGGAAGAAATGGCGAACCCATCACAATGTCCTATGTATAACCCCCTCCCAGGGCGATGGACAACAGACAAGGGATAAAGGGAGACACTGGACAGTGCAAGACATGAAAAAATAATAATAATTTATAAATCATCAAGGATTCATGAGAGAGGGAGGGAGGAAGAAAATGAGGAGCTGATACCAAGGGCTCAAGTAGAAAAAAAATGCTTTGATAACAATGATGGCAACATATGTACAAATGTGCTCGACACAATGGATATATGTACGGATTGTGTTGTTGCATGAGCCCCTAATAAAATGATTAAAAAAAAAAGAATGTCTACCTTGAGCATTATGCTCTTTTAGATCTATATATATGGGATCTAATTGACCATAGCCACTTGAAAGTTTAGACCGGAAAATTGGGAGCACAGTGAAGAGAAATCTTAGATAGGACAGGTAGGATGATTGCACAACTCACAGAATGCAGCCAATACCACTAAACTGTACAGGGAGAGATCATTGAACTGGTATATGCTTTCCTATACATTCTGTATAGTGAAAAATTACAAAAAGTGAATAAAATTCAACCATCCTTATTTTACAATCTGTTTTAATGTTTCCACTAATGTCCACATACACAGTTACAAATGATTCTCACTATGTTTTGTGCCCTCAGTTCTAGTAGAGTAGTAGATTAAATTTTGGACTCACAAGGCCAGCAGTTTGACTCTACCATGCTCTTCCCAGGCCAAGATAAGGCTGTCTGCTCCCTTAATGATTGACAGACTCAGAAACCTTAAGGGGCAGTTCGACTTTATCCTAGGGTCACTATGAGTCAGAATCAATGAGTTTTTGTTTTTGTTTTCAATGCCTTTGGATAACATGTACAAAAAAATATGTGGAAAAACATGTGAGAAGCACAGCAGCCTGTGTGATCATGAGGTGTCAGGTATCAGGCATCAAGGACCCAGAACAAAAATCATACCAAAGTGAATATGTGAATGAGGGGGAGTGCAGAATGGAGACCCAAAGCCCATCTGTAGACAATTGGACAGTCCTTTACAGAAGGGTCACAAGGAAGAGACGAGCCAGTCAGGGTGCAGTGCAGTACTGATAAACATTCAACTTTCCTCTAGTTTTTTTTTTTTTTTAAGGGGAGAGCGCGAAAACAGTCCCCCACTACCACAAATTATGCAGTCGAGTTTCCCACATTTGGGGAAATCACAGGGGTCAGCACATCTGGAGTGCAATGGATAAGCCTCACCCTGGGAAAACCACCTTTGTGATCACGGTAAGTATGCCCTCTAGTTCTTTAATGCTTCCTCCCCCCACTATCATGACCCCAATTCTAACTTACAAATCCGGCTAGACCAGAGCATGTACACTGGTACAGATAAGAGCTGGAAACACAGGGGATCCAGGACAGATAAACCCTCAGGACCAATAATGAGAGTAGTGATATCAGGAGGGGAAGGGGAAAGAGAGAGGAGAGAGGGGGAAACGATCGCAATGATAATAACTTCCCCCAAGGGGGTTGGACAACAGAAAAGTGGGTGAAGGGAGACATTGGTCAGTGCAAGACATGGAAAAATAATAATAATTTGTAAGTTATCAAGTGCTTTACACAAATGATGTATGTATGGATTGTGATAAGAGCTGTACAAGCCCCCAATAAAGTGATTTAAAAAAATATATGTGGAAAAAAAGATTTCATTTTGACCTAAATATCCACCAATATGAGACTTGTTAAGTAAAATGACGTAGTACATAGCAAATGTAAATAAGGAAAATGAGAATATTTTTTATAGTATGATATGAGAAATTTTATAGTATGATATGAGAAATTTTCCAGAATGGAAAAAAGCAAGTTGCAAAAAAATGTGCCTACAGGGCTACCAGCTGTGTAAAAAACGATGGGAAAAGAATGTGTGTATGCAGCAAACACGGACACTGTCTCCTCCCTTCCACTGAGATTAAGTACTTTGCATGCCATTGTTTTAAAAATTAATACCTGAAGCAAAGCAACAAAGCAGGGTCTTCCCTGCACATTTCCTATAAATCTGAATTCTCTAAAGAAAGATAATTTTATCCCTGACTTTTACTCTGCTGGCACCTGAAGATACCTTTTGACCGTTGGAAATCTGATATTTAAAAGAAAAAGTTATGTTTCCCACCATGAATGGACAAATGTAAACTTGATGGCCTTGGTCATCTTGTGTTGTTTCTGTCAAATGTTTACTGTTTTTCATTTGGTGAGCCAGTCCTTCTAAAGTCTGACTCCTTTGCACTCGGTATAAGGACGCTTTTGGGGGGAGGCTATAGGTTTATTTATTCAAACACATTAAAATCTTTGTTTAAATATTTTACTTCAAATAGTATTTTTGTTATACAGGATTAATTTATCTTCTTTAATATTTTATCAATTATTATCAGATAAATGATTAAGATAGGTCTAAAGATTGCAATTTATTGCTCTCCATGGATCCCCTAAGGTTGTTTTTTTTTTAATCATTTTATTGGGGGCTCATACAACTCATCACAATCCATACATACATCAATTGTGTCAAGCACATTTGTACATTCGTTGCTATCATCTCAAAATATTTGCTCTCCATTTAAGTCCTCGGCATCAGCTCATTTTTTCCCTTCCCTCCCCATTCTCCCCCCTCTCATGAACCCTTGAGAATTTATAAATTATTATTTTGTCATATCTTACACTGTCCGACGTCTCCCTTCACCTACTTTTCTGTTGTCTGTCCCCCGAGGGAGGAGGTTATATGTAGATCCTTATAATCAGTGCCCCCTTTCAGCCCACCCTCCCTCCACCCTCCCTGTATCGCCACTCTCAGCACTGGTCCTGAAGGGATCATCTGTCCTGGATTCCCTGTATTTCCAGTTCCTATCTGTACCAGTGAACATCCTCTGGTCTAGCCGGATTTGTAAGGTAGAATTGGGATCATGACAGTGGTGGGGAGGAAGTATAAAGAACTAGAGGAAAGTTGTATGTTTCAGTGTTGCTACACTGCATGCTGACTGGCTCGTATCCTCCCAGCGACCTGATGGGCTTTGGGTCTCAGCTCTGCACTTCCCCTCATTTACAATGATATGATTTTTTGTTCTTTGATGCCTGAAACTTGGTATCTTTGACACCTCGTGGTCACACAGGCTGGTGTGCTTCTTCCATGTAGGCTTTGTTGTTTCTGAGCTAGATGGCTGCTTGTTTACCTGCAAGCCTTTAAGACCCCAGACGCTATATCTTTATATAGGATGATGGGGAAATAGATCTATGTGCATATATTTATAAGTTTAGTATTAAGGCAGCACATGGACATTGGACCTCCACTCAAGTACTTGCTCAGTGCAAGAACACTTTGTTCTATTAAATTGGCATTCCATGATACACACCTTCCCGACAGGATTGCTGAAGACAAATGTGTACTTAAGCAAATGTGGTGAAGAAAGCTGATGGTGCCTGGCTATTATAAGGAAGCTTTTAAATGCTTCTGTTCCTGAGGCTTCCTCTGACTGCATGTATTTGCTTTTATATGCACAGAAAGTCTCTGGAGGAAACTAACAATGCAGGTGACTACCAGGGTAAACAGCTGAGAAGGAACTAGGCAACACATGATGCCATAGTGCTTGTCTGTCATTTTATGAGTATATCTTGAACTGTGATGACTTTATCACCTATTTTTAAATAAATAAATTTAAAATAAAATAAAGAGCAAGTTTGATTTACATAAAAGTATTTTGTTTGCTAGACTTAAGCTGTTGGTAGGCATTGTCAGCAGGCTTACAGAAAGAATTTTTTTTTTAGAAAGAATTATTTTGCCATGCAATTGTTTTATCTTAACAGGTAATATGCATAAATTACAGGAATTCACATCTGGCAGTGTACTGAGTTTGTCGCCACAGCTACAAAGGGCAGCCTCTTTTACCTCAGGGTGGTTGAGTTCTCCTTCTTCTTCCTCGTAGGGGCCACCCACAATGAAAGCGTCAGGAATGTTATTCGCACCTGGCGCCAGAATATTGGCAATCGGCCATTTTTTGGGCCGAGGGACAGGTTCTCGTTCCCCTCCAATCTTCAGAATCCCATTCTTGAACAGCATTGGGTAATCTTTCTACAGAAATAAATCCCAGACACCAAGAAGAAAATGTCAAATGTTTTTAAATGGACACAAAATGACTGAAATATGTTCTCAATGGAAGACTGGCGACTATCTAACAGACCCTTCCACGATCATCTATTGGTGTAGAGTGGCCTGTGGCCTCCATTGCCTTTGAGCTCACACTCTCATTGTAGAACTCTGCTAATACAAATCATTCTTGTCTGTAAATATGCAAATATATCTGTCCATGAAATATAACTGATTATTTCTCTGTGGCTACTGAACAGTTCTAAAATATTAGCAACTCCTAATATTGCCTCAGCTTCTCCGTTGAGCTAGTTTTTACATTTGACTGAATTTTTCATTAAATACTTAAATAAAATATTAAACACTTTGTCATTTTATGTTTATATGATATTCATGACTTACCTTTAAAAATTATCTTTCAGATCAAATTTAAATCTGACAAAAGGCTAATAATAGGTACCTTTATATCTTATAGTTTTTCAAACATATTTGTAATGGAAATGGTTAAAAATACACAGGCAATTTAAAGAAAAAGAAAAAAGTTTAAATCCAACATTTAAAAGAGCCTATATATATATGCATAGCACTAATAATCTATAAAGTGAAAATTAAAATAGTAAAATACCATGTCAAACCATTAGACGGGCAAAATTTAAGTCTAATGTCAAGTATTGGTAAGAATGTGAAAGGAAACGGTATGTCTTTTAAACTTTGTAACTTGGGTGAAAGTTTACGAACTTATCAGTTCTCCATTTAATAATTCATACACATTTTGTTTCACTCCATTGACTACAATCCCCACAGAGTAACATCACTTATCCCTCTTTCTCCATGCGTTTCCAGTTCCATTCCCCTTCGTTTCCAGCTTTCCTGAATTTGTCCTTGGGGAAATGCAAGCCTTTTGGTTGCTTATTCTAAGATGGGTATACCTCACTAGAGTTATTGTTCTGTAGTCTCAGAGACGTTCTGGTGATATTGTATTAATCTTAACTGATGATTAGGTACACTCCTGGTGGGTGTGCTAAAGACTGTGAGTGTGTGTACAGTCTCTGGTTCATGGCTTGTGTGGCAGAGTTGAGGATGAATTTGTCTGATCTTGGCCGCTATCATTGATCAGATGACACAGCAACAGGTACAGCACTCACCTAGTGGGTGGGGTTGCAGGAAGTACAGGTATGGCTAGGCTTTATAGGCGGTGTTAATTTCTTGCTGCCAGCTACCGGCGGGGGTGCCTGTGCGGTCAGGCCACTGTCTTTATAGAATTCTGCTTGTGAAAGTTCAGAATGGTGTGCTGGCAGTTCACCTATTCTGTGTATCTCCTCTCCTAGTCAGGATTCAAGTCAATTCTCTGCCCTTTCCTCCGGAGCTTAGAGCTTAGTGCCATCATCCATATCGGTTTCATTTGGTCTCATGTCTTTGTTATAGAGGGTCGGGGTAGCATGCCTGCTGGTTCACTATCTTTCCCATCAACAATATTCTTAAATGCTGCTTGGAAGTATAAATTAGTATGACTATGGACAATGACTTTGTAGTTCTTAATAAAATTAAAATCCGATAGCTTAAAACTTAACAACTCTAGTTCTTGGGGTTAACTTTCAAAGACTTTTGTGAAGGAGAGGGACTTCTGGAATGGCAGGGTGAAGAGCTCTGAAAACCCACCCCTTCATAAAATCAATGAGAAACGCAGTCAAGATCTACTTTCAGAACTCTAGAAATTAACTGAAAGGTTTCAAAAATGGGAAGGGTACTTATTCAAGAAAAACAGCTGAAAATCAATAAGAACAGTGATTTTTGTGTATATATCACCCAAGATTCCAAAAGGAGGACTCTAATTGAGCTTGCCCTAAAGCCTAGGTAAGATTTCATCTGAGTTCAACCTGCAGGTCATGATGCTGAGTAAAATTAGTCAAGGACAAATATTGTATGAGAAAACTGTTATAAAAAGCCTAGAAAGGGTTTTCATACTTCACACTGAAAAAGATACTCTTTAATAATTTCCCTCCCAGTGGTGGGAGGGAAAAAGAAAGAGGGAAAGTCAGAGGCAATAGGGTAGCTAACTGGTGAAGAGGAAGGAAGTTAGGGGAAAAAATATTGGAGGCTGGGGAAGACACTGGGAAGTTTGCATGAGTTAGAGGCAAATAATGTTTTATATATAAGCCTGTAATGTGGTGACCAATAAGTCAATGCTTGGATCGACTGGAGAGACACCCAAGTTGAACAGGTGTGGAAAGGAGAGTGGGAGTATGCCCATGAACATACATACCTTTGACAGAGGATATTTCTATATAGGTATTTAACTCTGCTACAAATATATCCACGAATGATGTGGCCCATACAGAGGCAAAGTTATGAAAACATATTTTTATATAACCAAATACTTTGAGGGAATGAATTGCTCAGTCTAGGGCAGCAATTCTCAGCCTGTGGGTCATGACCCCTTTGGGGGTCGAATGACCCTTTCACAGGGGTCACCTGATTCATAACAGTAGCAAAATTACAGTTATGAGGTAGCAACAAAAATAATTTTATGGCTGGGGGTCACCACCACATGAGGAACTGTATGAAAGGGTCGCGGCATGAGGAAGGTTGAGAACCACTGCTCTAGGAACTCAGAACCATAATCTCAGGGAGCACCAGGGTCAACTAGCATAACATAGTCCACAAAGACAATGCTCTACATCTTACGTTGGTGAGTAGCAACTAAGCAACTGGGCTACTCATGAGCAGCCATCTAATGTGCAAATGTTGGTATTTTCCCTCTCCAGAGGAAAGGAGAATGATAAAAATTAAAGACATCTTAAAACAAGGAGCTCAGCAGGTTCATGTATTATGCCAACATCAGTCTTCACAACTCTCAGACCAGAAGAACTCGATGGTGCCGAGTTACCACTGAGCATCAACTGCTCTGAAGGGGATCATATTAGACAGTCCTAGATAAACGGGGACCACAATGTGGACTAGAATTCAAAATCATCAAAGTTACCAGGCTTTAAAATCTTCACGGAGAGGAAGACTAGGGACCTTCACAACTATGGCCCTGGGTCATCCCCTTCAAGTCTGGAATGGAACCCAGCCTCGTGCTGCAAAACAAATTGTCTACGGCCAGAAAGGTAGGAAAGGAGGAAGAAGGGGGACAGGAGAGACTGGAGGTAATAGGACGCGTGGAGGGGACCACAGTGGATAAGTTCACACAAAATGTGTATTAATTGTTGAGTGTAGAAAACTGATTATGTGTTCTGATTGAAACTGATTAGAAAACTGATGATGTGTTCTGTAAACTTCCACCTAAATCACAACTAAAAAAAAATTTTTTTTAATCACAACTAAATTTATGAAAAACCAAACTGGAGATACTTTAAATAAAAATGTTCTGTAAAAGATTTCATCCTGGTGAGGTTAAGGAAGAAGGATATTCCAGGCAATTACTAAATGTGCAAATGTAGAAAAAACTTCCAATATTTTTGGGAAATACTAAAATTAGACTTGGAGACAGGTAGTATAAAAAGAAGAAATTTGGAAAGACAGGCTGAAGATAAATGACGTAAATATAAATGCATCTATAACTAAAGCCGGATCTTTTCATTCCAATTTTCCACGAACTTTTGAGGCCCTCATATGTCTGCAGGGCAGGCTAGCTTCTAGACTTCGACTTAAGTGTCTGAAACTGCAGTCACCAAAGACTGGGTGGAAACTGAAAATCCTAACCACGGCAGTAAATAGACAAGCTGTAGGGCAGAAACAAACTTCTATTGCCTAACCTTTGTATCCATACAAATTAAAATAACATAGAAAGTAAATTACAGTAGAGAAAAGGTGGATGACATGTCTTACTATCGAAAGATTTCTTATAAATCAGCTATAAAGAAAATCAAAGGATACTTATGCCAAATGTGAAAAATACAAATAAAAAAAATTTTTAAAGGAAAAGTTCAACTTATCTAGTAATGAAGCACAAAATAAAACCCTCTTGTTTACTCAGTAGATGGACCAAGAGTTTTAAAAGCTTTGGCAATGTAGTAAAGGGGAAGGAAACATCATTATTAATAAAGCATAAATTGATCCAACTTTTCTAAAAACAGTGTGACAAAGGTGTTCCTAAAAATCATTACAAATGACTAAACACTAAGTACATTTTGACAGTAATTCTACTTCTAGTAGTTTATTCTAAGGAAATAATGCATGTACCTAAGTACTTAGTAAAAGTATTTTTTATGTAAGTGTTTTAACATAAAATATTTGGAAATACAGTTATCACAGTTTAATTAATCATATAAATTATTACTTTGATAAGTGCTATTAATGAGAATTATAAAAGAACTAAGAAATTGGTCTTTGCCTTCAGGAAGCTTACAATCAAATAGAGACAGATGTTCAAGTTCTTCAATTATATATTCAGAGCATTAAAACACATTTTAGAGAAGAAGTTATGGCTCCAAGAATATATAAAGTTAATGGGAAATAATGTTAAACTTTAATCAAAGTGGAGCAAATTAATTTTGCAAAGTCCTTGAGGAATGAATAGACATAAATATAGAATAATAAGGCGAATCTTCTGGGGGAGGAGTGTAGTGAAATAAAGCCTTGGTTCTTCAGAAAAGCAGCTTAGGAAACTTGTTCCCCTAAGCCCAGAGGGCTTGTTACCTTTTGCCCCAGTTCTTTGGGAACTCCACTTGAGAGCCTGCCCAGGTAGCGCGACAGTTCATGAACTTGTGATGCTCAAAAAATGATTGGCTGGAGCAGAATCTTGTAAGACATTAGTCACTTTAATATGGCTTGAAAATTCACCAAATAAGGCTGACTTGTGGTCCACGAAAGGGATTGGTCAGTTCATGCAGTGTATCTAAGGAGCCAACCGCACAGTTCTTTTAGCGGGAAAGGCAGAAGAGTAAACAAGGAGGGAACCCCATGGCCTTGACGAACGTGGCGCACAGTGATTTGGACCTGGGATGCCTACAAGAGGGACCTCCTAGAAGAGTAATGATTCA